AATCTCTGTGCACCTCTGTAGCTATTACTGATGAACGGCATATTTTCCTAGAGTAGATCCGGCTTGATACGAGGAGCCACCTGATATATCTGGTATCAAATGGAGCCCTTGGTGCTGCTTCGACGAGGCCCGAGGTCAGGCTGATGGCAGCACACCAAGGGCAGCCCCACACCAGACCGCCTGAAGCAGGGGTAGGCTCCTGCCAGCTGAAACCTGCCCTGTCAGGAAGCAGTCCCTGCGGCAACGAGACTTGTGCTTTCTCCAGGCGTGTTTCCAGCTGCCTCCCTCCGGCTCCTGCCCGGTGGGGTTGGAGTATCGCCGCGGACCCAGCTGCCCCCCATCGGGCCGTCCCGCTTCCCCGAGGCGCACAGGCGCGGGGCCGCCAGTAGGTGGCGCTGGGGGTCCGCCGAGCCCGCGCAGGGCCCGGGAGGCCTCGGCCGGGCCCCGGGCGGGTGAGGAGGCACGTGGGCAGAGCTGGTGCCGAGCAGCTCGCAGCTGTACTGGGCTGTGCCGTTGTGGAAGGCACCGGGTCTTAGGGGAGCTTAGGCACACATACAGGAATGGCGTTAGCAAGATGCTTTTGTCGAGTATTTTGCGTGTCAGGCATCCCGGTTAGGGTTAATGTGGTGTTCAGAAAGGACCATGCTGCTGAATCTTCGTTAGCTGGGCGCCTGGCGGCTCGTTTTAGCCAGGGAGAACATCAGTGCACGGAGTGCTGGCTGCCTGCTGGCAGGATGGCCGGGCACGTGTGGGGTCACATCCTGCACGCAAGGCTCTGTGCCTGGCCTGAGCTCTAATATGGTTCGTTACATCCCATGCTGGCTCTCCTGGCTCAGGCTGTCAGCTCACATCTGCCCCCAATATCCATTGACATTCTCATTAAAACTACCATCACTTTTCCCTGCTATCTGTGCAATCAATCTCTCATTGCTTGAAGCATCATCATGAATGCCATTTCCCGATTAAGAAGGTCAAGGACTCAGACTGGATATTCTTATCCACTGGGAATTACCGCTTGCAGCTCTCAGTACAGAGGGGATATTTCCCTTAAATTTGTAGGAAAGATTTGGCTCTGATTGGCAAATTATAGAATCATTAAAGTCATAGAATAACCAGCAGCCCAGCCCCACCATCACCACTCATATGGGAACTGTTGAGTCATGGCCCGAACCACTGATTGATCACCTGAGTAAAGGACTGAGTCAGCCGTGGGAGCACAGGTGAAGCCGATAAGACTCTAGACCCCATTTAAGGGCTGACTGCCAGGGAGGAAGGATCTCTTTCTGGAGATCTCTCCTCTGTGGAGTTTTTCCTGTGAACCTAGATCTTTAAATACAGGTGAACATTCCCTCACTGTTTATTTTCCCATTTTTGCCATGATAATCTTTCCAGGTGTAGCACCAACAATAACACCTGTCTATAAGAGCCACATCTATGCTTTTCTCAAATGACTTCCATTTCAGGAAATCTCTTACCTCTTTACAAGCTGTGTGTAACCAAACGTTTATTCTATTTCTCTCTCAGATACATCTGCCTAAGAGAGGAAGAAGTCTTTTCCAGAGAATGAGCAGATCCAACTTTGCACTGATGCACATTGCTAGAGCCATAAGTAAGCAATGTGCACACCCTGGGCTTCAAGGCACAAGGCCAAGTCAGTGCATCTGTCACTGAAAGGTGAGTGGCAGTGGGTCTGACACCAGGGCAGACTTTTCTCAGGGAATGCATGGATGTCTGATGCACAAAAGTCTGATGCACAAAAGTGCAAGCCTGCAGGTCTAGGTGGGGCTGATCTCCCATTTGTCTTCCTTTGAGGGGGTAAGTTAAATGTTCAGTGCTGCAGAAGGCAGCATGTAGGGAGGAAGATGGCAGGATGCTGGGCAGGAGATGCACTCTCTGCTTGCAGGGACAGAGAAGCAGGTGGGACCCCCAAGGGATACTGCTGGAGGCAAGGATGGCTGCAAGCAGAGTGGCTGCAAGCAGGGTGGCTGGCATTCATCATTCATCAGGATGAGCAGTTGTGTTGGAACCATAGCAGTGGTTTGGACGGCTTGGGCCACCTGTGCTGCCTGTTGGTGGGGGGGGGTGGCACCTCGGGAGCACCTCACTGCTGAGGACAGCTGAAGAAAGGAGGTTGAGAGCTGGGGAGAAATGCCACACCTCTAAGCATTGAGGCATGCTGTCCCATCAGAGCAGCAAATGAGAAGAACCAATTAGCATACTTTAATGTAACTGATTAGTGCCTGGTCACACAGCCCGGTTAGCGGGTGATATTTGAAGCAAATCTGAAATTACAAGCATGCACATAGTAACCCGCGAGGGAGCTGGTGGTAGGAGAAATTATTTCCTGTCTTAGCAGCTGTGGTCCCCATGTCTCTGTTATTACCCATGGAAAGCTGCCTTCAGAGAGCCCTGCAATGGTCTGGGGTGAGACTTGTAAATTAAGAAATTAACTTTCTTAATTAACACAGTAGAGGTGGCTGGTGTGACTGCTGGGAGGTACAAGTGGGGAGTGATGTGCTGTGTTCAGGCTTTGGGATCAACACAGGGCAGACAGAGGCTCTATATGGCTGTGTGTGGGACTGGCACTGCCATAGCCTTGAGTGCACATCTCAGTTCCCCGGGAGCCCTCGAGGCTGCAGTGCTGGTACCCAATGAAAAAAAGCTGCTGCCTGCAGGAGCCCTGTTTCCTTAGCTACCGCAGCTGGGAGGTGTTTCTGGAAGGTGACAGGCAGTACTAGGAAGGGAAAAGGCTGGGGAGGATCAGGGAGTAGCCTCCTGCCTCCATCCAAGGGGCTGCCTTAGGTGGGATTCAACAGCACTTGTCTTGTGTGGTTACTGAACTGCCTGGGCAACATTTGCTGAGTGTCTTCCCAATGCTCTGGAGCCCAGTGTAAAGAAATGCTGAGCACTCATGGCTGCAATGAGACCGAGTACTGCAGGGCTGTATGATGTCAGCCTCAGAGGAGAACCACCCAGCACTGTGTGATTGCAGGGTTAATTCCCTCAAGTACAAGCTTCCTTCTCTATCTGGGGATAACCCCCTCTTGGTCACCAGGGTGAGAATAAACTCCTGCTTGTAAAGGATAGACACCATGTAATGAGAAGAAATCCTTCCAGTTACAACTCTGTCCTTGAAACAGCTTGCAGGCAAGGAAGCAGGGGGCTGCACCCAAGGCTGTATAGAGGATGCTCTAACCTAGCACCATGTGCAGGGCTTCTCTACCTGACCCATGGCATGGTGAGAGACTGCACTGCAGTGCACCTGTGCAGGGTGCCTCATAGGGGATGGCTACCTCTCTGCCTGCTCTTCTTCCCCTGGGCTCCAAATCTAAACTCTGCTTTTTCTCCTTCCACCATCTGCCTCCAGGCAAGACCCAGTGCACCCTGCTGGGCCAACCTGGCAGGGAACAGCCAGCACGTGAACATTCCAATCCTTGCAAGACCATACCCATAATGCTCTTCATGGGTCAGGGTCCCAGCCAAGGAGACCAGCTCTGCTCAGGAGTCAGTGCTTTACCATGGCATTTGCCAGTTTAAATGATGGAGCATTTTGCTTTCCAGCTCAATGGACCAGAGAAGCCATGGCTTATGAATAATACAGTCTGTACTCACTGAGAAATGGGAATCTTGCACTGGGGAACCAGAAGCAATCCACTGCCACAAGTGATTTTAGAAAACCCCATCAATTTGTCTTTCCCACAGCCTCTGCAGCTCAGTGTTTGCAGAGCACGTGTTGTGCAGCCTGCAGAGTCCTGATACAGCCCATGTCACCTGCCATGAGGACCTGTCATGGCCTCAGAGCCTGAGTGACACTGTAAGACCAGTGCTGGCTCTCAGGGAGTGAGTGGGCAGCTGAGCAACTTCTCTGCATCACAGCTGCTGCTGGGGCTGAGGGAGATGGAGAGAGAGGGATGGAAGTCCTTGTCTGTTCTACTGTTTCCTGCTGTTAGTCACATTACTTTAGCTATGGGAGCTTCTCAAAACCACAGGCTGGGGTCAAAGGTCTCACTGACAGTATAACATTTTATTGGTGGACATCCAGTTGTGCCCCGCTTTGCCCTGCACCATCAGCAGTGCTATGCTAGGGCTGCAGCCGTGAGGAGGTTAAAGAGGAGGAAGGGCGCTGTGGGGGACAGCTGGTTCTTTCTCTTTTCTTGGATTCCCATAGCTCAGAAGCGGTGCCGTCTATTCCCAGCACGAAGGGAGGCTCCTGACTGCCTGCTCGTTGTGTGCTTTGGTTCCCTCGTGTAGTGTACCTTCATGGCTGTGCTCGTCAGGCTTTAGGTCCCCTAACGGGCAGGGGCTTTTCGCTGGGCTGCACTTCCTCAGCCCGAAAGAGACCCAATGAGTCTAAACGAGCTTTTAGAGAGTGCCTCAGGTGCTGTTTACTCAGCGCTGCAGCCACGTGTGTGGGACCCGGGCACCCTCATGGGGCAGCAGCAACGAAGCGCTCAGGATGTCAGTGGGACCTCTCCGGGGTTACCCTTTGGTGGCTGCTGCCGACACCGGCTGGGACGGGAACCGGGGAGGCCGGGAGCATCTGCAGCCCACCGTGCTGCTGCTCCTTCGCCTTTTTTGCTCGGTAAGAAGGAGCGCGGTGGGTACTTGGGGGAGAACGGGCTCTCGAAGCCCCCTTGCACCCTGGCGGCTCAGGCCCCCGTCCCACCCTACGGTCGCTCGGCACCGATAGGATCCCTGCCAAGTTTCTCAGCTACCACGCAACCGGGCGACGCCGCATCCGCAGCAGAGATTCAGCGAACGCCGCTGCGCTCCGCAACGCGCGTCGTGCCGCGCCGTACCGCCCTGCGGCTTCCCCGGCCGGCTGCCGCAGAGGCCGCTCCGCGCCGCCCGGCCCGCAGCGCTCCCCCAGCCGGAGCCGCGGGGCCCGTTGGAGCGCAGGCCCGGCTCCGAGCAGCGCAGAGGCGGGGAGGGGGGGCGCCGCAGCGGGGCGGGCGGCGGGGCGGGGCGGCCCGACCCCCTCCTCTTCCCGTGCCGGGGCCGGGCACCCGGCGGCCGGGCGGCGGGCCCCGAACGGAGCGAGCGGCGGGCAGGTCGGTGTCGGGCGCGGGGCGGCGGCCGGCGCGGGGCGGTTGGGAGGGGAGGGAGCCGTGCCGGGGTTCGGCTCGCGGCTGACGCGCCGTGGGATCCGCCGGGAATGTCGGCGGGCGGCGGTGGGATGCCGGAGGGGCTACGCGGGTCGGGGACGCGGGGATGGGGCCGGCTTGCTGCCGGAGGAGGTTTCTGGGTACCGTTTCCCGCCCGCGTGCTGCGGCGCGTACCGGCGTGGCTCTGCGTAGCTCTTGTCTGCACCTGACCGATGGGCGGCGGGGCGCGGCGCGGTGCGGGGCTGCCCCGGGCTCCTGGAGCCGCTCGGCGGCACGGGAAGGAGGGAGGGAGCCCTCTGGGTGCCTGTGCCGCCGCCTCTGTGCCAGCCGAAATGTCATCCCGCCGCTGTGTCGTGCCACAGCTGTGCTCGGTCCCCACGTCATCCCGGCCGCACGGCCCGCCCGGGGACCGCATCTGGAGGGGTGCCGGAGGTGCCTCTCCCCGTTCCGCCCCCGGCTTTGGGCGGCGGTAACCGCAGCAGAAGGGGCTGTAGGGTCGCGTCGCTGTCTTAGCTGCTCTTCCCCGCTGTACTTCACCCGGGTCTGTCTGCCGTGCCTTCTCCCCTCTGCGCTTCATGTCCTCCCGCGTGGCAGAGGTGCTGCATAGGAGTGTGCAATGCAGAGATCTCCCTGACACACAGAGTGTTATCCAGCAGAAAGAGGCACCTTTGTTTGGCTGAGGGTTTTGGTGTTGGTTTGTTTGTTGGGGGGTTTTTTGTTGTTGTTGTTTGTTTGTTTGTTTTGTGGGTGGTTTGTTTGGTTGGGTTTTTTTATATGAACATCTTTTTTTTCCTTTAACTGCTTTGCTGCCATCTCCAGAACCGTGGAGATGTGCTTCTGCTTTCTCCTCTTTGTGAGAATTCAGTGGGGGGAGGGTGTGGAGACAGGAGGGGAGGGGAAGACTGGGTGGGCAGGTGGGTGGGAGCGATCACCTTTCTCCATGGAACCCTGCCCTGTGTTGCACTGGGCCTTACAATGCTGGTGCAGGCCTGTCTGAGCAGGGGAGGAGGCAGGAAGTACTGCTTGGGATGGAGGGGGATGCTGTGGTTTTTGTTTAAAGGGGAGTTTGGGGAAGGTGTAGGAGAAGTAGGAGGGAGCAGGACTAAGTGCTGCAGGGGCAGGGCTGAGTCTGTCCTGCTGGCCCTGCTGCCTGCAAAGCGGTGCCGGCGCTGAGCAGATGGAGAGGGAAGCAGGGGCAGCTCTGTCAGGAAGGATTTGTCTTCAGTAGCCTGGCAAACAGCCCTCTGCAAACAAATGAGTAATAAATAAAAGCATGGAGGCTGCCTGACCCCTGCAGCCTCTGACTCCATAGCACATATGGGTTTTTCTGGCTTCCCTGTAAGCCTAAACCTCTGCCTGCTTGCCATGGCAGCATGTTGGCTCTGCTCTTCCCATAACTGTCTCAGTCCCTTTTCAGTGCTTTTTTTTTTTTTTTCCCATGATATCGCACCAATCCCTCTGTCCCTGCTCTCCAAAACACTCTGTGAATTGGCAGGCCCACACGTTGGCCACTGTGGCCTGCAGGGAGCATGAGGCCTGCTGCTGGGCCACTGCCCCTCTGCTATCCAAGCTTGTGGCCCCAGACACAGGAATTGGGGTTCAGCACAGCTCCAGAGCCAGAATTTGAAGAGTTGTAGAAGGAGGAGTGTCTGCTTTAAATATTCCTTGCAGGAAATACCCGTCTTCACAGGCTGTGATCACTTCACCAAAGCAGCAGGGAGAAGGAGAAATGTTTCTGACACCCACCAGTGAATTCAGTTGTTATTAAACTAATCAATCACCTAAACTCATATGAAGGCATCGCCGTGCTTACTGTGCAAGTGCTGACTCCTCCATGAGTCCTGCAAACACCAAAGCCTTCTGCAGTCATCACTCCTGCGCCTGGTGAAACAGCTACTCTTACCTACATAGCTTAATTGCTGTAAATATATTTAACGTACTTAGCCAAAAGTTTGAAGAAAACATTGCATTGCTTATGTACTGAGCTCAGATCAAAAGCTGTTTGCTGTGAGATCATTTCAGGGGAAGCGGTGGAGCGTATTTGTTCTCTTTGGTTGGTTTCTGTGCAGCAGCTCCAGCCCCAGTTTGCCTCAGCTGCGGCCTTATTGCGCTCAGTCCCAGCTGTGAGACCTCCAGCAATGAGATTCCCCAGTGCTTCTGACGACCACTCTGGCATCTACCTACACTTTAAGGTGCCTAAATGTCTTTTAAAAACTGCTTTAAGTTACTGCTTCAAATGCAGCTCAGCCTGGTAAATTTGATTGCTATCACCCCTGTTATTAGGAGACAACAATGGTGTGAGTTTACTCACACCATTATGACAACAATGTGATCAACTGGGGCGAGGTAGCTGTGCACAGCCCTTCCCACAGCCAGGACGTGGTTGTTGGTGCTTAATGGGTGAGAGATCCCACAGGATTCCTCACGCAGACGGCAGGAGGTGAGATAGAGAGACCTCATTCGTGAGTTCTCCTCTCTCATCCCCCTGCTTTACCTTCCCCTCTCCAGCACTTCCCTCCTTGTTGGGTCTAGTTTTTGTGACTCTCTGTGGTGGTTACAGAAGCTTCAGCATGGTCCCGCCCTGCCTGCCCCGATGGCCCTCTCAGTGGATGGCTGTACAGGCTTAAGTGCTGCATCCATGCTGAGGGCTGCGGAGCAAGCCTCTTTGGCTGGGAAATCACATTCTTAATTGAAATTACTGTAATGTTGCTCAGTCTCCAGTGAGTTTAAATGTCACTGTACGGAAGCATTTCAGCACCAGGATCATTTTTGCAGCTCCCAGCACTGTCCCCATGAGTCCTGCTTTGGCCAAGGAGGGGCTTCTAGAGCTGTTGTAGTTTGGTCTCCTGTGACGATATATTTAAATTGGAGAACCAAAGAGGAGACATAGTGCTCCTGCTCAGTAGGAGCATGTGAAGCTTTAGGTGACCTGATTCCCTTACCGTCAGCATTCATGTCTTGTGTCTTGCTATCTGCAGATAGGTTGGGTGAGCCATGGGGAAGGGTGAGTCGGAATGAGCCAGGCTCCTCTACACCCCCAAGTGCTAAAAAGCAGGGTATGAGAGGTGGAAAAAACATCTGCAGGTAATTCTGAGTTCCTCCTAAGAGAGAGTAGAAAGTTCCTCTACCAGGGACTGTTACAGTGTGTGCTAGAAGGTGGTAGTAGGAGACTGGAGGTGCTGAGAGGTTGCATGAGGGCTGGCAAGCTAAGGGAGTGAAACACTGGACTTGGAAGTGGCTGGCCAAAGATCACAGGGCACCAGTGCAGCTGGGATCCCAGCTCCCAGTGATCCTGGGTTTGGGACCGCTGGGCTGGAGGACCTGTCTGCAGCAGGTCAGCGTGGGCTCAATATGGCTCTGGTTTGGAGCCCAGTCTCTGTCATTGGAGATATTCAGAACTTTCTTGGACACGGCCAAGCAGCCTCCTGTAGGTCACCTGCCTTGAGCAGGGAGGTTGAGCAGGATGATCTCCAGAGATACCTTCTAGCCTCAGCATTTCTATGATTGTTAGTTGCATCTTCTGAGAAATTTGGTCGCCATGGTGTGATCCCCAAAATAGTGTCAGAGAAACAACCAGAAATGGGGGTGGTTGTCTAGTTCCTCCGAGCCTGCATCAGCAGTCTCTACATCAGTAAGAGATTTCCAGGGCTCACGGGTTCCAGGCTGGGAACATACTCAGTTCCTTTTGTTTCTGGGCTGCTTTCCTTGAGGAGAGGACACAACTGGCAGAACTACATGGAAGTGGCAAAAAAAAGGCAGAAGAATGAACCGTGCTTCTTAGACTCGAGAGTAAGTTTATTCATGCCTTGCTTGCTTGGCTCTCAGCCTGCTGCTGAATAGGATGGAGGGGCCAAAGTCACGATTTAAATGAATGATCAGAAATCACTGATGTAATTGCCTAGTTGTAATCTTTCTGTGTTTATGGATTGCTGCTATTTGCCTAAGGACAAGCTGATTCTTGGCGATTAGTGTAAGTTGTGGTACTTCTGGCTGAGCAGGGTGCTGCACCGTGCTTAAGTGAGTTGAGGTTATAACATGACATGCATTTGTTTCAATTCTTAATGCCTGTAGTTCTTATATTAGAAGATGGTGAGTGACACATTTCCCCATTAGATTTCCCTTCATTATTTATCATAAATTTGTTCCAACTGTATTTCGGTGGAAAATGAATTTTGATTCCAAATGCTGAGAGCAAGCGTTTGAAAAATGATTCCTAGTTAGCCAAATAAAACTGCTTAAAATCTGTGTCCATTAAAAAAAACATCTTGTGATAGCATTATTTGTAAATACAGTGAATTTAACAATAATGACTCCACAGTAGGAACAGAATTTTATTAGAATTTAGGAGGAATAGAATATAACCAGGATATGACCTGATTGCTTTATGAGAATTCAGAACTAGCAGAGATTGTCCTCTCACACTCATTTTTATTGGAATTGGAAAGGGAAGCAGGCACTCCTGCTTGAGCTCACTGGAATTCTGTGAACTTTTAATAAACTTACTTCTGTACTCAAATAACTGATTATTTTTTTTCCCCCCTCTGCTTTTTTTTTTTTTTAAAGAAAAATTTTGCTGCTTATGTAGTTCATCAGGTTTTATTTCCAGCTGCTCAGCCAGTGAGCATATCTCTGATAACAAGAACATACTATGTGTGTTTCTACTTATTTTTTCCCAGATTAGAGTGATCTGAAGTTTTAGCATGTAGGTTGTTACAATTTCAAGTTTTAAATTGGTTTTCAGTTCAGACAATGTTTGATTATTTTTTTGTCAGATATGTGCTTCAGAAAGTCATAATTCTTTTATTTGTTCTGATTCCAAGTCCTCTTTATTGCTTTTTTTCCTTTCATATTGCTCTGCTACTAATCTGATCAGGCACTTTCTTTGGATTTTTCTGTTGGGAGCTTTTCATCAAGTTTTTAATTCTTCCATCCAAGTTTTTAATTTC